GATGTTTGATTCCGGTCAAATTTCTATCGAAAGAGCAAAAATTATAAAAATATTTTAGAAGAGTGTAACCTAGCCCAAATAAAATGACGATACGTATACCAACTACTGTATTACTAATGTTAGATATACCATATCAGATCCTTTCAGTCCCAAATTTCAAATGTATATCGTTTTTATACCTTGTATATTGTAGGAATTCTGATGCTCATAGCTTGGGTCCTGTTAGTCGGTATTACCACCGTGATCGCTCGTTTCTACAAGTCAATATTCCCAGGGAAACTCCTTTGCGGAACGAATGTATGGTTTCAGGTAAGAAATTCTCTTTAATTAATTTTTTTTCCGCTTCAAAAGGCGGGGTGATTCTATTTATGTTGAGGTGGTTTCAGTTTGCCGTTATAGCTTGATATAATTAAATTGACAAGTTTGAAATTTGACTCAATAGTTATCTTGCAGGTGCACATAATCTATTTTGGTCCGAAGAATGAACATATTAAGTACTTGTCGTAATTGTAATGTGGCGAATATGTCAGTATATGTGTACCATTCGTATTAATGTATATATGTATATATTATAGATACAATGCGATCCAGGTATTTGTTTCATCAATAGGTATTTATCACTATGACCATTTCGAGATTATCGGTCTGTTGACAATTGCAACCTGAAAACCACCTCTTCTTTATGTCGCTACGATATTCCATAGCCCATAGCCATAGATCATGGCCCTGACAAGGCATAAGTCGTTTATGTGCTGTGTTTTGTTTGTTTAAATTTTCTAGTTTTAATTTGATGTACTTTTTTTCAGATCCACAGGACAGTAGCGATGATATCTTTTGTGATTACGGCAGCTTCCTTCGTCCTTATTTTCGTAAAAGTTGATGGATTATCTGACGTAAGTTTATAGAATATTATCATATTGATATAAGAACGAATTTATTACATTAAATTTCTATTATCCCGAGTTAAAAACAAAAACAATCTCTTCGTCAATGCATCAGGTAAACGCTAATCTAAAATTGTATATAAGATGACAACATTTGGAACTGATACGTCTATATATCATAAAAGATATGGTACATCTCATGAAACATATATTTATTAACATGGTATCTACATATGCGTTATCTTACAGCGGGTAGGCGTCCACAGTTGGTTGGGTATCGGCGTGATGTGCGGAGTGTCTCTACAGCTCATAGGAGGCATCCTCCGCCCTAATCAGGACAGTCACGCGAGATCTGTGTTCAACGTAGCTCATCGGTACCTCGGTAAATCAGTCCATGCTCTTGCAGGTAATGTTTATCGCCTACTAATTAACCATTGTACTGAAGCCTTATAGTCTCCCCCTTTTGTGGAAGTTGTATACTTATATTGCCTCCTTAAACTGAGGCTAGCAACAGACACTTTTAAAATGTTTCATTGCTTTAGAATAGAAACTCTGGGATGATTAACTCGTTCGCCCCTATGTAACTTTAGTACTCTCTACCATACATTGGTATGGATGAGTCCATAATGGACTATAGTGTTGAAAGGGTTAAGTTATTTTGCGTTTGAACGAAAACCGCTTTGGGAAAAAACGTATCAATTCTACCTTCGATTAAACTAACATTTCTGATGTTCAAGTCTCTGAACTTCTACGTTTTAAGACAACGGATTTCTAAAATTTAAGACAATAACCGTCTGATTTGAAGACATTGACTCTTCTTAGTTTTAAGACACTGGTATTTCTGTGGTTTAAGACACTTTTTTTCATGTTGCGCAAATATGTGTATTGAACGGGCAAAAAACAAGTGCCATAAAACTTTTTACAATTTTGGAGAGTAACATTTATTTCGTTTATTTATGCAACAGCTGCCACCTGCCTTGTTGTATTTAATGCTGACTACCTACCCAGAGCTCAACGCACGTTTGGGAATATCATGCTATGTATATGGATAGGTGTCCAGGTTGTTTGGGAATCGCTGTTTGAGGCTCACAAATGTCATACACCAGGTAGGTGTTTAACGAACATAACAGGAAACTAAAAACGTTACTTTTTATGAAAACTGGAAAAACCTTTTTGTTTATAGCAAAATACACACCGGAACACAAAAGGTCAACACAAAACACATAAACACAATCGAAATATTCCGCTTATTCTTGTTAATAATTTAGGGTCCGTTCAGTATGTAAGGTCATACCAATAAATAACCCTTTTCTGGATCTCAAAAAATAGAAATACCGATTTATTTAGATTAAAATAGAGACACTAAGACATTATTTAAAATATGAACCCTCAATTGGTAGTGGTTTTGTCAGTTACAACTGTGACAGCAAACTTTATCAGGTTAAAGTCGATAGGACGAAATGTTAACACTTTAATACAGAATATAATCAATGATGTGATTTTTATCTGTAGATGATGTAAAGAAAGTCGAGAGTGGAAAAACAACAGTCCGGACAGCTATGCTTTGGTGTTATATCTCTACAATGGCGGTACTGCTGATTCCAGCGTGCATGACAATACTCTTATTTTAATTTTTGTTCCAGTTCAGAATTTATTATGAGTTCCTCTTCACTACATGTAGAAATATTACGATTCGGAGATAAAACAAAACATCTTTTTTCTGAATATCTTTGATTAAAAGATAAGGTCAGTTTGCCTATGGGAGTAAACCAGAACAATACAACATTTGTCCCTTTACCAAGAAAAAACAAGTCAATTACGCATTTAAAATATTCCTTTGGCTATCATTGAATATCAACTTGTCATGAGAAATTGAATGGCTTAGGCGTAGCTTGATGTTTGATCCGATTGATTTCATTAATAAAAGACGAGATATAATTATCAAATTTAGTTTGTTTATTCCACAGCACAACTAAAGTTGGTATAGATTATAAGACGTGTACAGTCATTGAAAACAGAACTCTTAAATGTTACGTTTTCGTACTACTGCAATATGTTTATTTACTGTAAAGATTGACCTTCATTTTGACGGCGTATACGGTAGTATGAACGCAGTTGAGAACGAACATATTCTATGGTGCGCGTTAACGCTCCATAGACAATATGTGTGTTACCTACTGCGTTCATACCACCGTATACGCCGTCAAAAGGAAGGTCAGCTCTTACATGTACATCCAAAAAATGTTCAAATGCTACAATACGCAGCAAAACAGTCAAAGCGGGTTGTTACGATAGTAACCATGGTAGCCGTGGTTGCTCGAGTATCATATAGTTCCAGTGAATCTACATTGATATATGAGTAAATTTAGATATTCCAGTGAACAACACTATTTTTTCACTAGCTTTAGAAATGGTACAATGAGGCTGTACCAGCCATTTTGAGGGGTATCCACATGGATATAAATAGTCTGTCTACTTCGATTGGCTCGCTTATATACTTTACACGCAGTGATTGGTTACCTGCTGTCTGTGATGTCACCATTCGATGATGTACAAGTGGGGAAATTAATTGCAAACAAAATGAGATAGATAAAGTCAGTGAGATCCGAATGTTCATACAGGATTGTTGGACATTGTTCTGCTATTCCACGCACGGCGGCGCTGTTGTTTGGTTATGGTCGGAAATTAGTAAAATCAGAGAGCTCCGAATAGGCATTTCAGGGTCATACTAATACCAAAACCAGACGGAAATCCAGAACCAAGTACTTTAATGTGTTTCTTTTATGTTTTTAATGCAACTACCTTAATGAATTGATTTGACATGAATAAAAATGTATTTTAGCACAAGTCTATATCAAAAATATACATTGCATTTTGATTTAAAACAGAAATCGAAAACATACCAAACATAGTGGTCCTGACATTACCAGTCCTGGTTTTTGGTGAAAAGTAAATTCACTAAAGCGGTGTGAACTGCTATCTTACTTTTAAGTAGTACTAGCACGGAATTAGATTAGATTTGCTATCTAAGTCCGTGGTATTAGTCATTGGTTGCTTGCTATTCATGTTATCTCTTTCTCATTGGATATTGATGCCCCTGCTAGGGCATTTACACTTAATCACATATATATATATTATGTAACAAGTTTGTACAAGTTTTTTATTTTTTTTATTTTGTAATATTGCTTAATGTATGTGTTTCTCAATACAGAGTAAGCAGGACAAATAAGAATAAAATGTATCTCATCTTCTAAATCATTTTTGTCACAGACAAAACATAATCTTTGACCTCTCGGAACCCCATTATAACGTCCAGATTCGATATTAAGGGAATGCGCCTGCATGCGATATTGACTCAACATTTTTTTGGTATTAAATGTTAAAGGCTTTACTAAATAGAATTGCATATTAAAAGTATCGACAAGATGTCTATATAAATAACATTTAGAAGATGTTTCAAACGCACCACGTAATTCCTGAATAAATACGTCATGCAGACGTTGGGCTTTGAAAAGGCCTGTCCCTCAACCGAGGAATAATCCTGCAGTTATGCGACGTAACCTTGTTCACAACGTGCGTATGCGAGAAGACCACAGTACCACCTGACCAACTGGTTCACAGTTGTCCGCTCGTGGACGACCTGACCACAAAATTATATATATTTCAAATAAATTCTCAGCACAACTACGCGAGCTTCTACATACCCATCTATCTCAAACTTTGCTATAGCTGCTTACTAAAACATAATGCTGTTGGGAGTGGAATACCAAGTAAATCCTTGAAAGCGTTCACAATTGAAATACATACGTTTTCGCAAACAACTCGTGAATAACATCAAGCACTTTTTATAAAATCTTGAACATAGCAATTCTGTCATCTTATGACGACTGAAACACATACAAATATCATAAATGCCGCGGCTCTAACAGTTCATGGTAAAGGGCTGTTGACGTGCTTTATGCAGGGATGTGGGCACGTCAAATTGAATAACAATTTGGCTGAAATATGTCATTTACCTTTAACTATCTACACAAATATGAACACATACCAGATTATCTATATATAGATAAAAAAAAAGCGACTTTATATTTCAAAGTCGACGTACACATCCGGTCACTCAATACGATAGATTGTTTTGCAAGTTTTCTTGCGTGTATTATCTTTAAACTAGCAAGAAATGAAATTCGTAATTGTGTGAACATTTTTTCTCTGAAATAAAAACTGAATCTGTAATAGCAAGTCATTTAACTCCAATACGTTTTAATCAATGATAGATATGACATAGCATATAGACTTGCTCAAGTCAATATTTAAATGGGAAAACAATGTATGATCATCATTCCAAAGTGATTTCCAATCAAGTCTAATATATCAGTGTCAATTTTCAATTTTGAGAAAGTGTCTCCAATAACTTTAATTTCACTCTGAGTGTCACCGACTCGGCATTGATGGTACATTATGAAAACACTGGCAATGTTTTATTACCTAAAATGTAATTCAGAAAACTATACATCTATGCAAATCTTGAATACGTGCTGAAAAAGGAAATACATGAGTGTCAATGTCACATTAAATTTATTGAACGAGTTTGATATATACTATATAACGAGTTTAATTTATTCAATATAACGAGTTTGATCAATTCAATATAGCACGGACACGAATTTAAGATTCTATTTTATCAGTTAACGTTAAAAAATTAAGAACAAAACTTCAAACACAATTGTATGTTGCTGTCGCGGTATAAGTCAAAACCAAAGTACTCCGATCGTAGTAATGTCGTTCCGCGCAGTGCAAAGTAGTTCCAATTTTTCTTAATCTTGAACAGTTTTAAATGAAATGAAAATAATAATGACAAAATAATCACTCAAATTCACTTAATAGCAAAAAACTTTATTTTTTTTAATAAAGTAGTACCTGCAGAAGCGTAGGAATATTTTCCCACGGTTTTGACCAACCGCAGCACCATAAGGTTTTATTGCACGTGTGTATTATCATATTTACGACAATGCGTGTGACACCGTAAAATGTCAGCCAACAAGAGATCTTGTTATAATAATAAAACATATCTCTAACCAAATTAGTCTATACATCACCACTCATAACAGGAGTAACTAATAATGCTTTTATGTCAAATTAGCAATGACCTTTTAGGAAACTCGACCCGGTGATTCAGGATAGAACAGAAATTACGACTATATATCGATATAGCCACGATCGCAGTTACATCAAAGTAAACGTATTGCAATGTTCTCTTTTTTCCATTTTGTTTTCAAATTACGTGTACTATCTTAATATCGATATTTCGTCAAGTACATAATATGAACTTTATCTATTTTATAGACATTAGTCATTACCAAAAAAAAATGTCCCCAACTTATCTCAATCATTATGTTTGGGAGGAAGGATCGAATCCGGCCATCTTGATGAAGACGACCGCGCCATCCACTGCGCCACCCGACCCACCGTATAAGTTAGGCTTCGAACAAATATCTTCTTAAGTTTTGACAGGAAGCAATATGGTGTCATTGATGCAAAAAAGTATATTGTGAATACATTTTTACCAATCATCTATAATTCAAAAATTCTATATACGGGATACCGGAGCAAGTTTGGCCAACCCTGATATTTTTTGTCTTGAGCTGAAGTTTAGTTGGCTTGGCATTCACTCGATTACGAACAAATGGCGAATAATAATAATAAACTTTATTTATTGAGGATTAAAAACCTGATTAAGCCAAAGGCTAATCTCCCTCGGGGTCCTCTATATTAGTAAAATGTGTTAGTTTTACACAGTATTTCTTACAACATAGTAATATAAATTAAACATGAATGACATCTAAAATATAGGTTATGAAAATATTACATGCAATTATATAGTACAATACATCAAATATCACAGAAAGCATACATCTCATGCTTTGAAGGTCTGATGATAGTTAAATGGCCGTAGCCTTACATACATTATGCTAATATAGCAAAGTATAAAAATTGCCAGGATATACGCTAATATAGCATAAATTAAAAACTATTTTCTTTATCTAAAAGTATGAATCACAGTAGTGGTTTATAGCTCTCTGCTTAAAAGGCTTAACAGATGGTAATGACCTTACATCATTTGGAAGTGCATTCCAAGTTTGACAGCTTGATAAAACAAAGTGATTAATATACATGTAGAAGGTTGTCCTGTGCTTAGGAATGTACAACATATGCTGTTCAGCCCGTAGTGAAGCTCTGGAGTGGACAATGTTTACATGTTTATAACAAGAACATAGATATCCAGAAGTAAGTCCGTGTACACATTTAAAGGTCATTACAGACTTTCTATAATTCATATACAATTGTATAGGCATCCATTTCAACACAGAAAACATTTCTTTTGGAGGAGTTTCAAATGGAACATCTAGAATTAGGCGTGCTGCACGTTTTTGTAATTTATTTAACTTGTTCATTAAATTGTCAGTAAAGTCTCCCCACACTGTACAGCAGTATACAAAATGCGGAAATACACATGCATTTACATATTTCAACCGTCCACTTACTGGCAGATACTGTTTGATACGACGGAGTAGCTTTCATCCACAACTTACCCTCTTCAGAATGAAATTTATATGTTCTGAACAAGATAAGTGGTGGTCTAATTTTACTCCTAAAATCTTTTCAGTCTCTACCTGTTGTATTTTCTCATTTTTGAAAATCAAATTAAGCTCATTTTCACTTACTGCGCCCCTGGCTAGTTGTTAAAAACATACATTTTGTCTTATCTACGTTAACAATCATTTTATTGTCAGAACACCAGTCTTCCATTTTCTTTAAATCATGTTCTAATTTCGCTCTGACAAGATCAACGGTTTTACCAGAAGCAGATCTAGACAGTGTCGTCTGCGTGCATATCCGTCCTGCAAGCAGTTATCAACGGCAAATCGTTGATAAATACTAAAAAACATTTAAGGACCAAGGATTGAGCCCTGAGGTACCCCATGGGTTATCCTCTTGGCCACAGTTAGATTTCCTGAAATAGAGACATTTTTATGAACCAAGATACAACAGTGACATCACAATTATGAACTTTTAATTTTTCTATTAATAAAGTATGGTTAACTAGGTCAAAACTCTTCCTAAAATCTAGGAAGACAACACCGTTTATATTTCCATGATCAATTTCATATGCCCAATTGTTTACAATATTTAAAAGGGCGGTTTCACATGAATGATTTTGTCATCTGATGATATGATGACGATGGGGAGGGGGTTGCCAAATGATGACATATTGATGACAAAAAGAGGACAAAATGAGGATAAATGTTGACCAAAGACAACACTGAACGAGGCACAGGTTTGATCAAACTTACTTTGAGAACAGTTAGTTATTACTATATATACTTTGGTTAGTGTGAATCTCTTTATTTGTATAACGGTTGATATTTTTTTCCGCTTTCGTTTTTTTTTTTGGTTCATTACAAATACTTGGTGTATACATATTTACCTTTATTAATTTCAATCTATTATTGTATAAACACATATGTACATGTATATGGCCATTGAATACACATATATGAATATACATCATATTTACCTGTATATGTATTACATCTATAAGTATGAAGACATATGTATATAGCCATTGTTTGTACATGAAGGAATAGACATGCACACACATATATATATTTTTATACATTAGTATGAAAACCCTTATACCAGTATATACCCATATTGCCTGTATATGTGTCCATCGTTTATCAATGAATTGTTAACCGACTCTTCTCGCTGGAATATATACATATTGTGAAATATAGATTAGCAGTGATCTTACTGGTTTTATAATTCATCTTAATAATACCCCCCCCCCCCCCTTCCTTAATGTATAACGTATGGAAATGAAATTATTTGTTATATTTGTATGTTATATTTTACTTCAGGGCAATAGGGAAATTATCATATGTTACTGGAACGTATGACTTTACGACTGTTTTATTTTGTAGATCACCGGTCCGAGACGTTGGAGATTTACTGTGATATGTCTGGATCTCCTCAGTAGATCTACTCTCACATGACCAGGAGACGCGCCGAGACAGACCCATAGTGATTTACTCTGGCGTGGGGACTCGGACACAATGACAGTCTATGTAATGGACCTAAATCCAGCTCGGCTCCATTTCAGTGCTAACTCTGTATAACGTATCGACACTAATGTGTATAGGTTATTATAAAATAATGCTTACTAATTATCATCTGATTGCGTGATATCAATTTATGGCTAACGATGTACTGATGACACGAGAACAAAAACATTATTTCTACAGCATATTTGGAAACCTAAATGTTTAGGCCGGTTCACTAGGTACAATAATTCTGTATTGTTTGGGGGTTCGGATCAGACAATATGCCATCCCTCTACGAGAAGGTGGTTTCAGTGATTGAGAAGGACCCGGATAATAGGACAGATTTTGACTGTCAGGAACTCATTGGATGGTTCCGAAATAAGTCACCACTCTTCCTGTCTCTGAAACAAGGTAAGCATTGTCATCTTATTTTCATCTGTTTAATACATTATGTCGAAAGATGGATATATAGCTATATTTCCATATCATGTCTAAGTTTAATTGCTTAGCCATTTTTCATTATAATTACATAATGACATGTTAAGTAATTACTTGAATCTTTTGCGTTCACTTGCACATGTTTATTACACTTCCTTATAAAATTCCCTTTTGCATCTTTAGTTTAATTCCTGATGAAATTCACTTTGATATGTTTAGCATAACTCCTTATTAAGTCACTTTACATTTTTGGTATGATTCCTGTTAAATTCACTTTTACATGGTTATAGTCAAACCTCATGAAGTTCTTTTTTACATGTATAGTATAATTCCTGATGAAGTTCATTTTTACATGTTTAGTATAATTCCTGATGAAGTTCATTTTTACATGTTTAGTATAATTCCTGATGAAGTTCACTTTTACATGTATAGTATAATTCCTGATGAATTTCACTTTTACATGTTTATAGTAAAACCTCATGAAGTTCACTTTTACATGTTAAGCATAATCCCTGATGAAGTTCACTTTTACATGTTTAGTATAATTCCTGATAAAGTTTACTTTACATCTCTAGTATAATTCTTATTATCTGCTTTTAATCATTTAAACGCATCGTACCAATATGTAGTCTTTACTATTAGTCGTTGTAAGATTGTAGTGGAAGTTTTTAGATAGATTTGTTGTAGTGTCCTATCATATTTCCTTTCAAAATAAATTATATTAAAAGATGTTCCTGGAGAAGGTTACTCTTACATATTTAATATATTCCCCGTTAACGCTCACTACACTTCCTCCTGAAGTTCACTTTACTATGTTTATTATCAATCATTATGAGTTTACTTTACATATTTAATATATTTCCCGTTAACGCTCACTATACTTCCTCCTGAAGTTCACTGTACTATGTTTATTATCAATCATAATGAGTTTACTTTACATATTTAATATATTTCCCGTTAACGCTCACTATACTTCCTCATGAAGTTCACTTTACTATGCTAATTATAAATCATTATGAGTTTACTTTACATATTTAACATATTTCCCGTTAACGCTCACTATACTTCCTCCTGAAATTCACTTTACTATGTTTATTATAAATCATTATGAGTTTACTTTACATATTTAATATATTTCTCGTTAACGCTCACTATACTTCCTCCTGAAGTTCACTTTACTATGTTCATATAAATCATTATGAGTTTACTTTACATATTTAATATATTTCCCTATAAAGTTTGCTTTAACGGGTTTAGTAGACTTCCTTTTTAAATTAACATTTAACATTTCATAGAAGTGAATAGAGGAAAAATGAAACTTGTATTGAATTATTGTATAATACTGGTCCTTAAACTTCGATATCATGTCATCTCGTTATTCTTGTCACCCAGGGACATACACTAGTAGAAGCTAATCTATATTATATACTAACATACATAGTAATGCAGAATGAAATGAAAGCCTTATCGCTCGACATTGAAATTGATTGTGAGATTAATGGCTAGTAAATTGGACAGTTTAACATTAACGAGGTGTTCACTGATGCTCTAGGGCTTAGATAGAGGTTAACAATACTGGTTGGATATATACTTGTGAGTGATTAGATTAAATTACACTGAAACTATGGATGTCCTACAAATACTGAAACTCGGCAAAGCCTCGGGCCAGGACGAAAAAGCCATTACATGTTAAAGAATGTTTGCCATACTATTTGTAAACCTCTTGAGTTACTATTTAATATTTCACTGTCTGCTGGTGTTTATCCTAAGTTGTGGAAACTTGCAAAAGTTATGCCATTATTCAAAAAAGGTGATAGACATTCTCCCTTAAATTACCGACCAATTTCTCTCTTGTCTACTGTTGGTAAGGTATTTGAACGTGTTATTTTCAAACATATCTATAATTATTTTTTTGAAAATTCGTTGTTTTATAAATATCAATCTGGTTTTCTTCCAGGACATTCAACGGTATACCAATTAATTGAAATGTATCATAACATATGTTTATCACTTGAAGAAAAAAAACATACATGTATTGTCTTCTGTGATATTTCAAAAGCCTTTGATAGAGTTTGGCATAATGGTTTGTACATAAAGTTAAAATCCTATGGAATAGGCGGAGAGTTATTGGTCTGGTTGAAGGATTATTTACATCAAAGGCAGCAAAAAGTATGTGTTAATGAGTCTTTCTCGAAATTAGGTTCTATTGATGCAGGG